CATGTAGCTCCTTCTGATGCATCTTTTGCAATAAGTTGAAGTCTAATTTCGCAAAATTCAGAAGATTTCCATTATGTGATTCATCTTGTTGGTAAATAGATAAGAAATGTTTTACACCCAGCCTCGTCAAAGTTTTTTGAATTGGCATGTCTAAGGCTTCTCTAATTTGTGAAGCGAGAGAACTGCTCACGTGAAGGACCTGGCAATTTAGGTGAGTAACAGAAAACTTCAATGCTTCCTCTAGAATTTCCTCCCCATGTACTCAAAATTGTGCAGCCTCATACAAGCTTAACAAGCCTTGTACATTGCTAATCAAAGATTCATAAAATTTTCCTTGTGGGTCCTTGAATTTGTTGAACACGCCTGCTTCAGCGTAGAAAATATAAAATGCTCCCTTATTAGGATGGACCAGGTGCTATAAGCACGCACACACACAAACGCAAGCATGAACAGGTGGTTTCATTCCATTTCGAATATATATGTATAATACGCATATATGATGAATTTATTTTTCCAATTGAGAAACAAAAATTACTTACCACATGACACGTAATGCCCTTGTTGTCTAAGTAATCGAAATCGAAGAGAAGTGGTATGAAGGCTGCTGTCTTGTTTGCCACAACTTTCATTAGTATCATGTATGTAAATTTAGAGAATTTTCAATTTCAGTTTCAAAATGATAACCAACTCCAAGACGTTGGATTGAATCAATGAGGTCTAATTTATGCAAAGAATCGTCTGGTACTGCCGCTAAGTGCTTCTTCACTTCTTCTTTTAGTCTTTGATGTTCTTGCTCTTCATGGGCAAATATATCCTGCTCAATTAAATGAAAGCATGTAAAAAATTTATATGACTGTATTTTATGTCAAGTTTTGAATAAAAGGAACCATTATTGTTAGGCCATTTCACTAAGAATAATTCGCCCTCCATCTTTCTTCATTAGGAGAGGTTTGGAACAGGAGTTTGTACAAAAATTAAATAAAATTAATTGGTAGGGTTTGTTTATAAACACAATCTCTATATCTCTCACAAGGCTAATAAATAATACAAATATATATCTTTATCTATTCCAAAATGACAATCTTGATATATGGACAAGCATATTGTGCATACAACTATGTTAGTGTATAAATAAAATTTTCAATTCGAGAAAGACAATAAAAAAATGATAAAAGTAATCGTAAAAACATGATTAAATATACCGTGAGGTCCGAAGTATATGCAAGGAAATAGTCTCCCCAAATACTTGGATGATATGTGACAGAGCGGCGAGCATTTTCAATCCCCACATTTTTGGTTGAAATTGGAGCAGCCGATGCGCATATTTGGGTACTCATTCTATATTTACTTAGACTTTCAATAGGAAAAGATCAGGTGTTTTCAGTGACTTCTCACTTTCGATGGATTTTTTTTGTTTGATAATTCATGTTCCATTGATAGGTATTTATAGCACTCTTGAGTTTCCCATGCCAACGAAGAATTAGCCTTTCTCCAAGTTTCGTGAGGATATATTGTTAGCATCTCACGATTCAACTAAGAGTGGAGATTATAAGTTCCTGAAAGTAGCAAGAAATTAAGTTTCTTTTTCCTTTCCAGAAGTTGTTGTCTCCAAAAATTTTCCAACTGGTTTGCTCTTGGTTTTCGATACAGTGAAAATCTAACACAGTGTATGACAAGAAATTGAATAAATCCTTTTTTCCACTAAAATAGGAGTAGTTTACACGCAAGTGATTACATTCAATTAGCATCTCCAACATCACAATGTTTACTAAATCAAATTAAGTTTTGATATTAGAAAAATTCGAGGTGTTTTTCAACATCACTTCTTATGGCATAATTTATTCTTATCGTTTCTAGATTCCACTATTAACGTGTAAGCATTGACTGAGCCGCAAATAAACTGATTTTCTTTTAAAACAAAGCAATTAAAGTTTCCTGAAATAACAATCTTTTTTAATTATAAAACCAGTTTTGCTAACTTCCAGTAGGTGCATCGCCACCCCTTCGTCACTTCTAATATGATTTCTTAGAAGCATACAAGGTTTGTTGATCTAAACGGCACCAATATATGAGTTAGTATGGTTATTTTCTACTACAAGCCATGCCACACATGAACCACAGTGAAAAATCAAGATTATAAAAAATTGACTTTGTAAGATGAAAGTTTCCAAGGTTTGTAGACATTCCAAAAGCATACAACTAGTGCCATTATGTATATTGGGAAGAACCAATAAAATCCAATTTGAGCTGCTTGTTGAGAAATAAAACGGATCAAGACAATATTTATGAAACGATATGAAGTATATGATCGCAACCAAACAAAAAGATAAAATGCAAAACATTGATTGGCAGAGGAACTGAGCATTTTATTCAATTCACTAATATGGAAAAAACAAAAACAATAATCGTGTCTCACAATTATTCTAGATTTCAGTAATACAAAACTTGTGAAAATAGTCTAGTATTTATGGGGGTGCATGTCAAATCTTAGAAATATCATAAAGATGGAAACAAGATAAAAAATCATCTGCAATAAAAGAAATAATATTTTCCTAATAAAAATATGTGGAATGAAGGAGAATGTATATTCTTAAAAATCCAACCTACTTTGGGTAAAAAAAAATCCAAAAATCTCCACATTGACACAAATTATGATACAACAAACAAAACTTCAAAATTCCTCTACTTGGAAAAATAAATCCAACTGTAATGAAAAATTCAAACTCTTCATTAAGTACCAAACTTCTTCCAACACAAAAATACTTATCATCTTCCACGATATCCAATACGGATGCATGAACCCAAACACCAGGTTCTGTAAAATTCACAAAGAATTAGAAATTATCAAACAGCGTAGAAACACACCCTGTAGGAGAATCAACTCCCAATGATTCCATAGATGATCTCTGACTAGTCCCAACATCTTCAAAAATGATAAAAACATGTGTAATCGAATCGGCATCCACGTACCTATATCCAATTGCTCTATCCTTAGCAGTTGAATACCATAGAACCACATGTAATGGTGGCAAAGCAAAATTACTCATATCCTCCAAACTTAACTGAGTGGTATTCTTCAATATGGACCTCGAACCAAATCTCAAAGGTACAGTACAAAACTAAATCTCCACCACGGCACTAAATTTATGTTGACTTTTCTTCACAAATTTTGCCCGATCTTACAATATGTATAATTGGGAACTCTTCCGTCCCTTCAATACAACAAGAACACTCTTCTGAACTCTCAAGACTTCACCTCCTCTAGAGAATGTGTACACTTTTGAATAAAAAATACTCAACGAAACGAAATTATTCTTCAAGTCTGGAATATGTCAAATGTGATCAAATATTCTACATATTCTATCCACCAGCTTCAATCTGACTCTACTAATACCAACTACCTAATATGATTCATTGTTACCCTTGACAACGACACATCGTGTTACCATTTCATATGTTTCAAACATATGGAACACACAAGTTGTATCTAAAATCCACTTATCGTAAGGTTTGGATTCCATGTCAGAAATCGTCAAAATATGTCCATTACTCAAATAGTTCTCAACTATGTCGGTCTTATCTAATGTAATGATTATTTCCCATGATTTGTAGTCAAACTACCATTGTTTTGCAATTTGTCGCAATCTCTCTTAATGTGTCATTTCTTCTTACAATAATAACAAATATGATTACTGAAATTTGACATCGACTTACCCTATCTTCGATTACCATGAACAACAAGGTCTTCTCCATCTCTAGCTTCGGATCCAACTAGATGTTTCATCTTCTTTTTTGAAAACAATGCATCATATGCATTTTCAATAGGGAGAGTATTACGGCTATATAAAATCGTATCTCTAAACAAAGTAAATGAAGCAGGCAGCAAACACAAAAAGATTAAGGCCAAATCTTTTTCATCATATGTTACCTCTAAAGCCTCCAAATTAGCGACGATCTCATTGAACACAGCCAAATGATCTACCAAAGATTCGTCTTCTGTCATACGATGAGAATACAACCTCCGCTTCAAATGCGATTTACTTATCAGACTTTTAGTCATACACAATTGCTCCAATTTCAACCACAATGTAGCTGACATTTTCTCTTTCAAAATGTCCTCAAGAATATTGTTAGAGAGATGAAGATGGATATGTGAAAGTACTTTTCGATCTTCCATTGTTTCTCCTTCGTCGTCCAAGTTGTAGGCATTTTGTCAAATTACAATAACACATCATCCAAATCCATCTGCGTAAGTACAACTCAAATCTTCACTTACCACAACAAAAATCTTATATTGCGATCCAAGAGCGAAATTTCATACTTCATAACTTACATCAATAACAAAAACCTCGAACAAATCACAATTAATAGCCCTAATACTACTTGTTGGGAAATAAAATAGATCGAGATAATATATATGATACGATATGAAGTATATGATCGCAAACAAACAATAAGATAAAAGACAAAGAATTAATTGGTAGAAAAACAAAACATTTTATTGAATTGATTAATATGGAGAAAACAAATACAATAACCGTGCCTCACAATTATTATATATTTCAGTAATACAAAATTTGTGAAAAGAGTCTAGTATTTAAAGGAGTGTATGTCAAACCCTATAAATACCACAAAGATGGAAATAAGATCAAAATCGTGTGGAATAAAGGAAAAAATATTTTCTCAAAAATTTAACCTAATTTGGATTAGAAAAAAACCCAACAGTATCTAATATTTCTTCGATAATATCTTGTAAGTGAATCCATATTTTGAAGTACAGAATTCCAAACGATTGCCTTCAAAACTGGTTTAGCCAAATTTGGAATGGCACAGGTTGGTTTAGTGCGGGTGGCAGGAGTTATTTTGGATTTTGGGGTGGGTGAAGAAGATCTCATTTCATTTTTTTCTTCTCTTCTTTTCTTTTAATTTAATTTTAATATAGATATAATTTGATATTTAACACGGTAGTGGATTGGAGGGTCATCTAGGACTAGCAAGAAAAGTAAAAGGTTGAGAAACTGGAGAGCCAAGCTTTAGTTTGACTATTCATTATTTTCAAATTGAGCCATTGGCCATTGAACTGCTTCATTTTACCTCGACTATAAATGTTATCAAAATCGGTCTTGATTAGTAATTCACTTGGAAAACTTGGAACGGGTCCATCCAAAAGTTCTTAAAAAAACACAAGGAAAAACAAAAGAATCAACTGTTTCACTTGAAACATTTACCAGTTCAACCCTTTAGCCATTTACCTTTTTCAAGTTGATGCTCGCCGATCCAGTTTTTAAAATATTAGAATTTATTTCCATTTGAGACTACAAGGGGATGTTCTCTTTGTGTTTCGATTTTTAGTTTTGAATTCATTTTGAGTTTGTGTTTTGAGTGTCCATTTTGAGATTGTTGAAAATGTGTTCTTTTTGACATTTTGAAAAATTGTTTACAAAAAAAGTAAAATAGAAAACTTGTTTATTTTCCCCTCCCCTCTCTCTCTCTCTCTCTCGGTGGTGGTTGACAGTAATTGAAAACACCCAAAACGTGATTTAAAAATTTTGACTTGATTATAACTGAAAATACCCAAAACGGGTTTTCTTTATAAATTTTTAACTTGTTTTCAAAAACGCGTTTTCGAAAATAGGAAAAAGAATACGTTTTCACTATTTTGAAAAATTGAAAACAGAAAAGGATTTGAAAACGGTAAAGAGAACATGCCCTAAGTTTCTTAATTTTATGTCTTTTACAAACTGTTTCTATGAACTTGGTGCCAAGACGTTTCGCATTAAGTTATAAGTTTGTACACAAGCGAGGAATAAAACTATTTGTACCGAATTGTCCTTACCGAAAATGTTACATCCTCTCATATGTGCGGGGCCCGCGTGAATAAAAAACTCTAAAAAATGTGGTCCTCACACCCTATTGTGAGTATAGGTAAAATATTAGGTAAAACATTTTTTGTACATGTAGCATTGCCCAGCGAGATATAGTTCTACAATGTCAAATTGGCCCTCCTTCCCAGCCCGCCCACTTGTCTAAATATCGATGTGTAAAAAGATTTTTCCGACCTATAATCAGACTTCCTTTCGAAGATGTTGATGGAAATGGTACTAGAGCCACGTGAAATAATCACAAAATTTACCTACACGAAAATGATGACGTGTGGGGTGTTTCGGTTGCTCCGATCAATGGACGTTACTTGCAAAACGAGGTCGGCGCTTTCTCCCCCATTGTACCTCCGGCGTGAGAATCAGTAGGTATTTATGAAAAGTATGAAGAAAGTATATTGGGAGTTCAATCAGTTCCGGTTTTTTTCAAGAAAAAATACCTTTCCCCACATTGGGAT